CCTTATTTTTAAAATTATTTAAAATAAATTTCAATTTACCATCTAATCAGTCTAAATATTGTAAATATTGATATGTGTTCATAAGCTTGCAAACATTTATTAGTTACTTAAGTATGTAATTTAGAATTAGGATATACTTATATTTCTAAGATAACAACCGACATAAATGTAAATAAGACAATTAATCAAAAATTTAATATATTTAGAATAAAAAAATTATAGTTAAATTCGGAGAAATAGATAGAATCTAAGATAGCTTAATGATAACTAAATCAACCGTAAAAACAATAAAATTGGCAAAATATAACATATCTAAAATTATATATAATTAAATTAATATAATATTATTAATATAAATTATACCTACAAACTATAAATTAATTTTAAATTTGAAGTAAATATCAATCAATTATTATAATATGTTTATTTTATAAATATCTATGTCCGTGCATGAGCACGGGAAAATCACCTAGTCAAAATATATATTGGATTATTATTTTATCTTATTATATAAAGATTGGTTGGTCAAACTAAAAAAATCACTCACCGGAGCTGCACACTGCAACTCGGCCACAACTCGTTGTACAGTTTGAACTTCTCTTTTATAATAAGTTCAGAGACTTCACGGTTGCTTAGCTGTGTAGGATCATTCTCGACGTCCAAGGCTCTTTAAACAGGGAAAATACTCCAAGAAATGCTTGATCATTGCCATCTCTTTCGTTGTTCCTAGAAACCCTTTAATCTCCAACCTATTCACGGGACACGACCTGAGTGAACAACCTCTGTCTTTTTCACTGGCTATGCAGGGACACACATCTCCGCATTTATCTGTTTCATAGTGTAATAGACCCTAAAAGCATATAAAGGAGACAAAAGGTTATAAATGTAAGTGAACAAAAAACACACATCTCTAAACACATGTCCTTCCGGTTTTACCTCAATAACTAGAGATTGTAAATGTGGACAACTCCTTAGAAGAGCAGGCATAGCTTGCCATCCTAGATCCTCCTCACTTGAAACAACTAAGAATTTGAGGTTGTTGAACACTGGTATCGATTCAGTGCATAGAGAAATCACCTGAAAACAAGAACCATGATTTTAATGTTTCACAACTTAAGACCAGAATTAAGCAGAAATAGTACTGACCCCAAGAGTATCAGATGTTAAGGTAAGTCTCTGAACATTTTGTATGCCACAAAAGAGCTTCATAACATTGTCAAAATTGACCTGATCATCAGTTACCCTAAGGTTGATTCGAGCCTCCAATAACTTCCCCATATTAACTAATGGATAGTCGCCTTCGGCAACTAATTCAGAGTAGTCTAAGGAGACCAGATTCGGAGTATCAAAAGAAACGATATTTGGATTTACAACACCTGCCTGGAGAGTTAGCTTTCTCAGGCTTGCACTTGACACAGTTACATCACACTCAATCCATGCCACAGTAGCTATTCGCACTTCCTCAAGCACAGGGAGAGAAGGAATAACTTCCTTAAACTTGGCCACAAAAAAAATCAAGTCCGAGTCAATAACAAGACTTTTAAGCATTGGTAGGGAAGAGCCCCTAACTCCATGCCACCAATTAACATAGGGGTCAATTCTTAGTTTTAGCTTAACTAATGTACTACTGATGAACATTTCTTCAGGCAGAAAATTCATATATTCCACGGAAAAATAATTGCATAAATCAAGGTCTGAAACACCACGCTGCAGTACATTACGTATCCAACCTCTGACAATATCTGGATGGACACCCGTTATGCACTTTAGGGAGAACTTCTTGATAGGAGTCTGAGCTTGCATAGCAAGTACATTGTCCACGAACTGGACGAAGCTCTCTCTAATATCTTCCCTTTCCCCTTTATTACCATCTTCAGGATCAAATAAGACAGTGTCATCAATGTCAAGATTGGGAACAAGTTTCCAGAGATTGAGCCATCTCTTTGAGAGCGCCGAAGTCAAAGCAGCATTCTTTGTCGGAAGGAAAGACAAGATATGACCAAGAAGGTCGTCTGGTAAATTGCTGACATGATCCATCCTACAACAATCCCTGTTTCAAAACATCCACACCCACATTCAACACAAACACTTAATTTGAATACAAAACAGTTCGAAGCAAAGCAGATGAGGAGAAAGCTTGAGTCTTTACCACGTTACAAACGCCAAGACCTAACACCTAAAGTTAGGGTTCTTTTTAAGAGAGAAGAGATTGCTCAAGATATGGCACTCAAGCATAAACCCAGAAGAAGGTAGAGACAGAAACTCTAAGAAGCCTTCATTTTATATGTTCCCATATGACAAAACAAACTCCAATATATATTTTCACAGATCTCAATATCTTCTATCATTTAATCAAAATATCAAATTTTGGTTTTATCTTTATTTATTTCCCAAATTATTTATTTTTAACCTTTTTTAAAAAAAAGTTGAGATCTTCAAAATTTTAAATTTTCCAATTTTTGTATTTTAAAATTTATATTTTTTTAAAAAAAATTAATTAGCGACATACAACTAATCCAACTATATTATACTCGTTCAACTAATTATTATAATCTTACTAGTTATACTGAGCTTGATAGTTTTACAGTAAAACCTCTATAAACTAATAATGTTGGAACTTTGAACTTTTATTAGTTTATAAAGATATTAATTTACAAAAGTCTCTTTATCTAATTTTATTTTATTTTAAGTTATGTTTATTATTATTATTTTTTTGGAAAACAAGATATATTTATCCTAAAATAAGAAAAATATTGGATTTTAATGTATAGCACTAATTATTATTTAAAAAAAATTGACATTTATATTAATTATATTATATTATTTGGTGTATATAATATATATTACATTGAATTTAATGTGATTTTAGATATATATATATATAATATATATATATATGTATATTAATAAATCTCATCAAATATATATTAAGTGTAAAGAAAATGTGAAAATAACTTCACTGTGAACATAAAACAAACAATATAATGATAAATTTTCTACTTATATAAAATATTTATTCATAGTAATGATTAATTTATAATTTTGATGGGACCATGTATATACATATAATTTTCAACAAAAAGATTATCTTATTATTTTATCGATTTGTGTCAAATTTGAACCGGCCCAAATTGGGACCGACGAAATTTATTAATTTATAGAGGTTAAACCTCTATAAATTAATAATTTTGGGATTTTGAAATTTTATTAATATATAGAGATATTAATTTATAAAAGTGTCTTTATATATATTTTTAATTTAAGATATATTTATTCTTTTTTTGGTAAACAGGATATATTTATTCTGAGATAGGAAAATTTTTTGATTTTAATGTATAGCATTAATTTATTTTAATAAAATTTAACATTATATTACTTATGTTATATTATTTGGTGTATATAATATATTACATTGATTTTAATGTGATTTTAGATATATATTACTAAATCTCACCAAAAAAATATTAAGTGTTAAGAAATATAAAGATAACTTCATTGTGAACATAAAAACAAACAATATTGTGATAGATTCTTACTAATATAAAATATTTATACATAGAAATTAATAATTTATAATTTTAATGGGACCATATATATACATAGAATTTTCTCAAAAAATATTATCTTATTATTTTATCGATTTGTGTCAAATTTTGTATCGGCCCAAATTGGGACCGGCAAAATTTATTAATTTATTGAATATTAATTTATAGATATTCTACTGTATATATATAGTAGGTTTTAGTTGGAAAAGCTGGAAACAAAAACTAAATGTATACTAATACATGTGAGACTCATCATAATAGAAGTAAGTATTTTTGTGAGGGGTGAAGACTAAAATTTTAGAAATGCATAATGATTTATAGGTCTGAGATTAAATGTAGGTACTATTTTATTAGATGTTAATTCTTTTTTTTGGTTAAACTGTTAAGATTAGATGTTAATTCTTAATATAGTAAAACCTCTATAAATTAATAATGTTGGGATTACCACAAAATTTTATTTTTTTATTAGTTTAGAGAAATATTAATTTATAGATATACTAACTGAACCAAAAACTTAATTTGAGACTATAAAATTATATTAATTTATAGAGATATTTAGTGTATATTAATTTATCGAGTATTAATTTATAGAGGTTGTACTGTATACCCTAGTGTTTTATAAACGTATGTATAAAACTTAATATTGCAACAATATAAAGAAAGCTATTTTGTTTTTAGTATGGTTTGACATTTGCTATTTTCAAAAGTAAAGTACTTATTTTCTTTTCCAATTTGCTGTTCCGACAAAAGTTCAACATTTGCCTGCTTTGCGTGAACCTTATGCATCCGTGAAAGAAATCAATTTGCTCTTAATATTTTCCATATTTTTCATTATTAGAATAATAAAAAACGTGAACGGCAGGATTCGAACCTGCGCGGGCAAAGCCCACATGATTTCTAGTCATGCCCGATAACCACTCCGGCACGTCCACTTTGGTGTTCAGTGTGAGACTGTTACTAAGTTAANTTGCGTGAACCTTATGCATCCGTGAAAGAAATCAATTTGCTCTTAATATTTTCCATATTTTTCATTATTAGAATAATAAAAAACGTGAACGGCAGGATTCGAACCTGCGCGGGCAAAGCCCACATGATTTCTAGTCATGCCCGATAACCACTCCGGCACGTCCACTTTGGTGTTCAGTGTGAGACTGTTACTAAGTTAATATCGGTTTTTTAGCCTTTTTATTCAATTTTTAACGTATGTCAGACACAGTTTACACTAAAATTTAACCTAAACAACAACTTGGAGCTAAAAATAGAAACATTATGAATTCGAAAACTAGAGACCACAAAAACTCACGCAAAAATTGGGGGGAGATGGACCTTTGACCCACAAAAAGGATGAAAAGAATCTGCGAGAGGGAGATGGGAACAAAGAAGAAGTTCTGTTCCAAATTTCTAAGAAAACCAAACTTAGAATCGTGAAACAGAGAGACAACAAGGAACAAGAAGATGGTTGGAAGCAAAGAGAAACGAGACAAGAGACTCCAACAGATCTCTCTCCTTCGTACTATTCCTTACTCGGACCACCAAAGGTTATATCTCATCTTCCTTTTCTAATCTCATTTTCCACATATTATCTCAATTAATTACAAGAAGAATGTTTATTGCCTTTCATTAGGTGGTGGACATCTGAAACTGTGGCGGTGGTAACAGGTGCAAACAGAGGGATAGGATTTGAGATGGTGAAACAATTGGCTGGACATGGCTTAACTGTTATATTAACATCTAGAGACGAGAATGTAGGCTTCGAAGCTGCTAAAGTGTTGCAAGAAGGTGGCTTCAACGTTGATTTCCACCGCCTCGATATCTTGGACTCTTCCTCTATTCAAGACTTCTGCCAATGGATTAAGGATAAATATGGATTCGTTGATGTTTTAGTAAGTCTGATCTCATTAAAACTTCCACTTTGATTAGTCAGCAAGTGAAAAGAACAATTTTAAATCGGTCTATGCATTCAAAAAATCGTTCTAGGCACCCGTCTAAACAATAATCTTCTATAAAGCACTTAGTTATTGCGTAACAATCTTGAACATTAATTAAAACACTTTATGATTTGTTTTTTTTTTAAAGATAAACAATGCAGGTGTAAACTACAATGTTGGAACACATAACTCTGTAGAGAACTCTCATATGGTTATATCTACAAACTACAATGGGACAAAGAACATAATCAAAGCCATGATTCCATTGATGAGACAAGCTTCTCCAGGTGCTCGTATTGTCAACGTCACCTCTAGGCTTGGTAGATTAAAAGGCCGCCACAGTGTAAACATATATCTCTCATCACTTCTCTTTGCTTTGTCTTATTATATGTAGCAACAACAGATTTTTTTCTTTTTGAACAGAAACTTGAGAATGAAGCAGTGAGAGCGAAGCTTATGGATGTGGACTCTCTGACAGAAGAAATGGTTGACGAAACAGTGACTGAGTTTCTGAAGCAAGTGGAAGAAGGAACGTGGGAATCTGGAGGTTGGCCACATTCTTTCACAGACTATTCTGTTTCCAAGATGGCGGTGAACGCATACACTCGAGTACTAGCGAAAGAACTATCTGAGAGACCAGAAGGAGAGAAGATATATGCAAACTGCTTTTGTCCCGGTTGGGTGAAAACCGCAATGACCGGTTATGCTGGGAATATCTCAGCAGAGGATGGAGCTGACACTGGAGTCTGGCTTGCGTTGCTTCCTGATCAAGCTATCACTGGAAAGTTCTTTGCTGAGAGGCGTGAGATCAGTTTCTAAAATGAGAAAATTGGATGGGACTTGCTTCTTGTTGTTCTTACTCGTTTTTTTGTTTTAAGAAAAAAGGATTTTTAAAGTTAGTTTATAGTTTAATTGTGGAAGATATAAGAGTTTGAGTTTGATATGAATAAACGTTTTTCCCCTTAACATCGTTCATTTTCTGCACTATATTCCCTTTTTTATGATATTTTCTCGTTTTGTATATGTTCACAGTGTTTTTTACCCATTATATTCTCTGAAAGTAAAATTATGAAGTTTTAATATAAAACAATAAGATATAAAAGGGTATATTTGTTTTTGTTAAATGAATTCCACGCGATATTGTATGGATTCTTTACCTAGTAAAAATAATAGTTAAAGTCTTTTATTTTCAAAATTTTATTTTCTAATTTATATAAATATTGGGCTAATAATTATTTTTGCTTATAAAGACCAGGCTAATTAATTTTCATACCAACTCTTGTATCTTAATACACAATCAAATTACAAAATATGAAAATTAGTTTCATCATATTTTGACATAAACCTTGGATGGTGATATGAAGAACTTAATTATCCCTCAAAATTTTAGTTCATGTTTTTTTCCTATTTTTATATAAACATTTTTAGGTACTATATGTTCATGATATTATACGTACTTTTCTTTGATTTCCAAAAGAAAGTTAAATAAAAATGGCTCATTATAAGTTCACTATCCTTAGAATATGATTAATATGGATTTTTTAGGATAGAGTTCTTATAGTAATATAAGATAATCTCTTAGTTTTTAACTAAGAAAAATTAAAAACCATCTCTTATATTTTTTATTTAATTTTTTTTAATTAAAAATTAAAAAAACTATCTTATATTAAGCTAAGTATCTCATCATAAAAAAATTGTATTAATCATGTTTTTATGCTCGTTCTAAATCTTTGGGCTACCATCAGCGTATTAAAAAAAATGGTGGTAAGGTTACACGTGGCAAGCAATCTCACCACTGGTTCGATCGTCATCCTCCTCCTCTGCAATTTCTCCGATCGGCAAAATTGTTTCGGAGGTTTTGAACCAAAATCGAAAAAAGCAGCGTTTAATGTGTACCGGGTCAGGTTCGGATCCGGAGTCAAGCTCCAACGGGTGGAGCCGAGCTCGTGGCGTCGTGGTGAAGACACTTGTTCTAATCGGAGGCGCTCTTCTCCTAAAGCGTCTAACTAAATCAACCACTCGCAGGGATCACGCTCGCGTCGTCTCTCGTTCTCTCACCGGAGAGAAGGTTTTAAATTTTTCTCAATCTCAATGACTTAAACACTTTTTACGTTTCATGATGATTCTAACTGTTGATTGGATTTTGAAGTTTACGAGGGAGCAAGCTTTTAGGGATCCTGAGAATTACTTTAATATAAGGTTATTGTGATTGATGCGTTTAATCTCTAAGCTTGTTTTGTAGCATCTTGAGTTTGAATTTTTTTTTTTTTTTTTTTTTTTTGCAGAATGCTGAGTTGTCCAGCTGCTGAGATGATTGATGGTTCACAAGTTTTGTACCTCGAGCAGGTAGTTGAACTGGTTGATTAGGCGGGTTTACTTTTTTTTAAACATTTTAGGCCTATACAGATATTTAGAACACTGGTTGAAACACTACATTGAATGTACACTCTTAATTATATGAATGTGTTTTTCTTTATCTTCCTCTTAGGCATTTTGGAGGACTCCTCAGAAACCCTTTCGTCAAGTAAGCAAGCACTCATGGCTAACTCTCTTGTTTGATTCCAAAACCTGAAAAGTCTTTATTGATTCCTGGTTCGGTTCCAGAGATTATATATGGTTAAGCCGTGTCCAAAGGAGCTGAAATGTGATGTCGAGGTGAGGATATGAACTGTTGCGAATCTTCTTATGTATCCCAATACAGTATTTGAGTGTTTGCTTGATGCCAGGTAAGTTCATATGCAATCAGGGACGCTGAGGAGTACAGAAATTTCTGCGACCGTCCTAAGGACCAACGCCCACTTCCTGAAGAAGTCATTGGTGTAAGTCTTTTAAGGTTTTTCGAGTCAAATAAAGATCGCTGGTTAACAATGTAACTGAAACTAATAGGACATTGGAGAGCATTTGACAACTATACACCTCAGTTGTTGTGACCGTGGGAAACGTTGCTTGTACCAAGGCTCAACTTCACCTGATGGATTTCCAAATTCATGGGTATTGCTGCTCTTGTAAAGCAAAAGCTACTATCTCTATAGCTTTTTACAGTCTTGTTGTGGCCACACTTGAAGTTTCGTTCTTGGATTGCAGAATGGGGCTAGCTATTGTACTTCAGATCTTGCAGTCCTGAAAAACAATGAGATACATCTCTGGGATCGTGGCTTCGATGAGAATCAAAACCAGGTTCATCCCATCTTTCTCAAGCTGTAGCGTCAGAATTTTTCAGCTATATTACTAAAAAAAATGAAATCTTATGGAACAGGTTTGGGGACCAAAGCAAGGCCCGTACGAGTTCAAGCAAGCGACATACTCAAGCATCAACGAAAACCTGTCTTCTTTGAACATCCTTTATCAATCTACAATCGATAGACCAATTCAAGGATCACTCATTTTGCAAGACTAGTAGCCATTCTTTTACCAAAACCCCTTTTGCTCTCTGTAATTACACTTGTCTTTTAAATTTCATCTCAACAACATTGAATACCGTTTGTACATAGAAAGGTCAACGCTTTACTTCATTATACAACTCAGAGATGACTTGTTAATACAAAACGAAAACACGAATGTAGCCTCAGCAGTTCAGGCGGTGTTGTTGACATAGAAGTAAAGAGCTGCTAAAGCTAGAACCCCAACAGCAATTGCTATAGGCAAAGCCTTCCTGCGTGAGATTACCATAAGATGAAAAGTTGTGAGAAAGAGAACCAGAGTGGCAAAAAGAGGAGAGGAGAGTCTTTGTCTTTACCCAACGGCCTCGTCACGTTGGAGCTCAGCTTTTCTAGCCTTTCTCACATCCTTGTCGTTGACATTCTTGCTCACATCAGGCATGTACGGTCTAAACCGCCTTTTAGGAGCCGCACACACTGCAAAAAACCCATTATAACACCAGTGAAAACCAAACACAGTTCCTGAAAAAAAACTGGTCCAAAGCGACAACATTCTAAGTAATCAGCATACCTGGACAGAAGTAATTGTCGGGCAACTTATCGAAAGGAGTTCTGTCATTGTATATATACCTGTGAATCAATAGAAAGAGATGATGATGATAAATGAACTTTTATATGTTATAGAGAGAAAGAGAGAGGGATTGAAAGAGACCCGCAATCACGACAGATATAGGCTTGCTTGGAGGAGACACGCATGGAGAATTTTGGAGCAGAGGAGGGTGATGAAGATTTTGAAAGAGCCTTCTTCTTGTTGTTGCCGAGTATCCTCAACGAGTAATACGGCAAGAAAGATGATCTCTGGAGGTTTGAAGTCACTGGAGTCGGTTTTCCGGCGTAAAGAGTCGCCGGGGTAACGTACATCGTCGTCATTGAGCAAAAATAAGTGTGGTTGGTGGGATCAGTGGAAAAGAAAGAGAGAAGATAAATGTGATGATGAGAATGGAAGAGTATAGAAAGAGTGAGAGGATGTGGAAGAGTGTGTGTGCTCCTCACAAGCCCATTTCTCATTTGCCACGTCACAAAAGTTTTGTAAACTTTTGATTTTAATCGTTGGTAACTTGGTATGTAACATAGCGAAATGCATATTATGAACTATTTTGATTTTAATCGTTGGTAACTTGGTATGTATAATAGCGAAATGCATATTATGAACTATATATAATAGAACAGACACAATATAACAAACCGACCTTAGCTCAGTTGGTAGAGCGGAAGACTGTAGTTGTTCACAACAGATGATCTTTAGGTCGCTGGTTCGATTCCGGCAGGTCGGATTTTTTTTCCTTTTACCATTTTTTAGCATTGTTCTGTTTTAACCCTCTAGGTCCACTGATCCAAAAACCCATAGGCTATCTCACATATAAATCGCTGAAGGCCCAAACCTCAAGATACAAACCTCCCAACCTTTCTATAACAGCAAGACCAAAACAGTCTTTCAAGGCTCAGCTCCATTCTTCAACACTGAACCAAAACTTTCTGCAACATAATGGTTACTCTCTTACCAAAGCTTCACAAGAACACAACCCATCTTCAAAACCTATGAAACCTAATCCAATCCCACATTATCCACTCTATTCAACAGGTTGGACACTGATTTGATCCAGCTGTGGCAATGCGAATTTCTCACATTCTTACAGAGACATCCATCCGTGTCAGGCACAAATAGCCTTACAGACTTAGTTCTATGTATCAACTCTTCTAACAGTTTGTATAGAGCCAACTGTATAACGCATTTGTCTCTATATGAGATGTGTCTCCTGCCTTTACATTTTGCATGGTGTAAGTCTAGAGGACAAGCACAAGCTGCTAAAGCATGTCTTTGAGAGTTTTCAGTTACTTCCTTCAAACTCTACATTCCTGACATAACCACCAATCATCAAGTTCCAAGTGATCATCACATTCTGGTCATTTGAACCTTCTTAGCCAAAACACTATCCCTTTATATTGAGAGGAACCACATAAGAAGCCAGCGAGCAATGTATGTATAGTTGCAGCTTCTGTAAGATGTAACCAAGGAGGCAACAAGAGATGGGTATGTTCCGTATCCGACCTTGTGCTTGAAGAACACATTAGGAATTTGATGGAGCTTTGCATGATTCAAGAACTTGTTTCAATATCAGAAAAAAAAAAAAAAAAACACTTGTGAAATCACAATTACTAGAGGCAGAGCATAGCAGTAAGGTTAAATAATCATTTATAAAATTTTAAATTAATAGGGAGATCAAGACAAGCTTTCAATTCAGTTCCCATGTAAATGATGTTGATGCCTATAAAATAAGAGTTGGTTTGTAATCTATATGAATTTGGAATAACTAAGCCAACATTAAGCTAGTAATAAAGAAGGAGAAACAGGGAAACATATGAGATCTCAAAGTGGTCATGAGATCTTGTGCAGACCAATGTTGAGATCAGAAGATATGGAGATAAGAAGTGGCTGAGAGTAATGCCATTCCGCTTTAAACACTCTCTTCTGATGAGCTTTTATTGATTGAGTCGGTTTACGAGCATTGTACCTACCACACAAGCCAAGCCAGACAACAATACTCTTCAAATCACAATCCAATTCTAAGATATGTTCAAATTTGATGCTGAAAGAGTTACCTGATGTCAAAAACATGGATAACCGGGTCAGCTGAACCAGAGGTGATGTATAAACCATCAGGAGACCAAGACTGGTTTATCAAAGCTGATTGTGATTCACTACTGTCTTGCTTCCAACCAAACGAATGGAGTTCGGTTCTCCTTAATCTAATATCAAACAGCCGAAGCTGTTTCTCCGGTTCCCTGTCAAGATTCTACATCAGTAAACCCAAAAAATTTAAAAACTGAAAATATTCAATCAACTTTTTTCTTACCCGGACTGAACCATAAACAGATTAAAGTCACAAGGATTGGAGAGAACGCTCATGCATTTATACTCTATCTGATGCTTGTAGTCTGCTCTACCAACTTGGACATCAAACCCGTATATTCTCTTGTCTGCTCCAACCGACAAAACAACGTTCTTGTTCCTCATCCCATCAACTCCCATCACAGCAGCTGAGTGTAGATTCCTGTGTAGAGTTTTAGACTTCCATTTGTTTTCTTCATCATCACTCTCGTTCCATAGAACAACAGCGTGATCACTCCCTCCCGTTACAAAGCATGTGTTTTCCCATGGCATGAACTTTATGTTGTTGATTATCCCTTTCACGTGTGGTTTATTCTCCAGGAAAGTAACCTTTAACAAGAACAATAACAAAATACTAGAGTTTTAGTGACTTTCCAAAAGTAAAATACTAGTTTGTGTGTGTCTTTGTTACCCCGCGTGTCTTGTTTAGATTTAAGATTGATATCTGAGAATCACCATCGTCTGCAGTGTATACAGAGAAAAGAGTGTTCCCGGATGGGTGCCAGGCCATATCTTCTCCCCATCTTCTTTGTTTTTGAGATAAACAGTCTGTTGTACTAAGACATGATGCAGCCAATCTGCAAGCCCGCACAAAAGGGGATCACAATGGGCGTATTATTAACTACATGGAGAGACGAGATTTCTATAAAGCTGGTTAGGCCCTCAATTTTGGTTCTCCCTAATTTTGCATGGAACCATGAAACTTGAATCTATAATGCATTAGCACATATGTTCCATTCGTTCTGTTCTGTTCTGAAACTAATCCTTCTAGTTGGTATAGTAACCAAAGTAAACAGCAAAAAGAGATACTCAACCATTAAGAATAGAAAAACTTGAGTGAATGTAAATGCAAAGATACTGATACATTTAACTCTAAACAAATCTGAGGCCACAAACCTAAAAAGAATGGTCCCTAAAGCAAGTAACTACAAGTCATCATTTTCATCAAGCACCATAAGCTTCCTAACTCCTAAGTTAGTCCCATACTAATATCAGCAGAGCAAGTGATTTCCAATACAATCTACTCAGACAAGAGAAAGAAAACAAACCTTCCAGGCTGCAGTTGCCATAAACTGACCATGCCATCCAGAGAACTTAATGATACATAAGGAAAAGATATCAGATTCCAGAGTCTATTTCAAATACACAATAGCAGAGTAATGGGCCTTGGTAGTCTTTGTACCTTGTTGCAAAAAGCTGCTCATTTACAGGACAGAGAATCAAGCTTCTTAACTTCCTCTTGTGCTGACTGGAGATTTGGTTGCTAGAATGACATTTGATTGTAGTTGGTGAAGAGTTTCTAGCTATAAACCGAATCACCTCTTTATGCTCCTTGTGCTCTGCAATAAAAGTGACACAAAAATTTAGGCCATGAGTTATACTTTTGAATATCAGGCTCGTAACAACGTCATGTAATATTAGTTTCATCCCAGCAGTCACTCGAATTGGGGACCTCTAAGGCCCTTTCCAATTGAGCTAACGATCTCTGGTCAAAAGTTCAACATAACAAAAAAAAGATGAACATAGAATGTTTAAAAGAACTTACCGAACTTCCTTTTCGTCCCTCTATCCCGATCTCTGCTAGCTTTAAGGTTAGGACTGTCACGATAAGATGTTTCAGGCCTTTGTTTCACAACAACAGTTTTGGTATTGGAGTTTGAGATACTGTCACGAGAAGATGTTTCAGGCTTTTGCTTCACAACAACAGTGTTGGCCTTTGACTTGGAGATACTACTATTACTTGTAGGAACAGAGTTGTTATCACAGGGTTTAAGAATCTTGCTAGGTGATGGAGATGGATAGTCTTTCTCTTTCCTAGAAGGAGTAATGTTTCTTGTAGATTCATCATTAGTCTCTTTCTTTGCGCTACTAATAGTAATGGATTCATCATCATCATGATGACCACGAAGGTTAGATAACTTAGCTTTTGAATCTCTCAAACTTCTTTGTGCTTCAATAAGCTGAGAAAAGCCCCCCAAAAAATCAAATTCAAATCATTCCCAGAAAGGAAAGGAAAGTTACAGAAAAGGGAAGTAGTACAAAGTACAAACCTTGGTTTGGTAGTTAGATATGTGATGCTTGAGACGATCTATCTCAGCTGAACGGTGCTCTACTAAAGCGACAAGGGCTTGTTCCTGCTCTTCTCTGCAACCGACATTATTATCTTCTTCTTCTTCTTTTTCTTCTTGTCTTTTCGATATGGATTTCTTAGGCGTCGTGTGAAGTTCGCTCATTTCGGATTCTTACAGCTTAAAACGACAAAAGGGGATCTGATCGTCTCTGTTTCAACAAGATACAACAGCCCTCTTCCCTTTCATTGGTAGTAATAGAAACAGAATTCGATTAGTTTAAAAAAATTTCAATTTGGTAAAGCAAAAGGTAAATGATGAAATAGGCTATTTTTAGAGTAAATTAATGATGGTAAATACACTTTCATGGATAAATTGTCTTCCAATTAATGTCAAAAATCAAAATAATCTCTTAGCATTAATTGTGTTAAAAAAAATGTCTTAAACCATGATTTACACTATTTTTTACTCTAAATATAGTTACTCTATAATAGAAGAGTTGACGTTTATTCCAACAGTACTCTATTTTAGAGTGAAAAATAGAGTGATGAACAAAAATAAATAAATTACTCTATATTTAAAGTATACCTATATTTCATTTTATTATAAAATGAAATATATAATACCATTGGAACACTTTTACTTTAAAACTATATTTTAAAATGAAAAATAGAGTAGGTTAGAGATGCCCTTAACATTAATTTTACTTTTCAAAGTATATTTTCCAACTAATTAAAGAATTAAATGAAATTTTAAAGTGATTGTCTCTAAATCTTTCTATTTGCTCAATCTAGTTTCTAGAGACAACTTTTGATCTACATAGAAAACTGGTAAGAATTATTGAAGTGTTCTATGACTAAAAACTTATAAAATGCAGATCTATACTATTATATAAGAAGTAATTTTGATTAGTTGTCAACTTTTCATTGATTTTAGGTAAATTTGTTTATTTATCTTATTTAAATAATTTCATATACAATTTATTATTTAATAAAAACGAATTTCTATTAATAATATTATAATTTTAGAAAATAAGATAATTCTTATGTATTATATTGTTATCTTTAAAATATTTTTTTATCATAGAAATTAAAAATTAAGTTAAATTATTAATAGTTAAATATAAAGAAAACAATGCAGATTTATCAACTTCTCCATGGTTTATACTTTGTTTATTTATCATATTTTAATAATTTCATATATAATTTATTAAATAATACAAGGAAAGTATATAATAATACTAGATTTTTAAAAATAAGATAATTTTTATGTATTAGATTGTTATCTTGAACATATATTTTCTATTAGAAAATTTAAATGAATTATCTGATTTATAATTTCTCCATGATTTAGATATTTTTGATTATTTGTCATATTTTCATATAAAATTTATTATAAAATAAAAACGAATTTCTATTAAAAATTATATTTAAGAAAATAAGATACTTCTTATGTATTATATTGTTACCTTGAAAATATAAGTAATTTTGCTTAGTTGTCAACTTCTCCTTAATTTTAGGTAAATTTTTTTATTTATCTTATTTAAATAGTTTCATATACAATTTATTATTTAATAAAAACGAATTTCTATTAATAATATTATAATTTTAGAAAATAAGATAATTCTTATGTATTATATTGTTATCTTTAAAATATTTTTTTTATCATAGAAATTAAAAATTAAGTTAAATTATTAATAGTTAAATATAAAGAAAGCAATGCTGATTTATCAACTTCTCCATGGTTTTATACTTTGCTTATTTATCATATTTTAATAATTTTATATATAATTTATTAAACAATAAAACGAATGTATATAATAATACTATATTTAAAAAAATAAGATAATTTTTATGTATTAGATTGTTATCTTGAAAATATATTTTCTATTAGAAAATTAAGTGAATTATTTGATTTGTAATTTCTCCATGATTTAGATAATTTTGATGATTTGTCATATTTTTAATAATTTCTTATAAAATTTATTATAAAATAAAAAAGAATTTCTATGAAAAATTATAATTGAGAAAATAAGATACTTCTTATGTATTATATTGTTATCTTGAAAATATAAGTAATTTTGTTTAGTTGTCAACTTCTCCTTGATTTTAGGTAAATTTTTTATTTATCTTATTTAAATAGTTTCATATACAATTTATTATTTAATAAAAATGAATTTATATTAATAATATTATACTTTTAGAAAATAAGATAATTCTTATGTATTATATGGTTATCTTTAAAATATATTTTTTATCATAGAAATTTAAAATTAAGTTAAAATATTAATAGTTAAATATAAAGAAAGCAATGCTGATTTATCAACTTCTCCATGGTTTTATACTTTGTTTATTTATCATATTTTAATAATTTCATATATAATTTATTAAATAATACAAGGAAAGTATATAATAATACTAGATTTAAAAAAATAAGATAATTCTTATGTATTAGATTGTTATCTTGAACATATATTTTCTATTAGAAAATTTAAGTGAATTATCTGATTTGTAATTTCTCCATGATTTAGATTATTTTGATTTTTTTCATATTTTTAATTATTTCATAAAAAATATTATAAAATAAAAACAAATCTATACTATTAAAGCAGATGACTGCTTATGAATATGTCCCTGATTTTTTAAGAAATTACAAAACCTTCCATATCCTTTTATTTTTAATGAAAATCATCCATTAAAATCCCAACTGAAAATCGCCAATTAAAAGCCCAATAATTTTAACATTTATTTACAACGAAATGGGCTTCAAATCTATACAAAAAATTATATATTTGTAAGTTTACAAATTTATCAACAGAAGTAGGTCTGAGTATTTGACACAGACCCGAACAAGAACCGACACGAAAATACAGATCCAGGTCCGGGTTCGGGTCATTGCTAGAGTATCTGTTGGGTATTTTTTGTTTGGATCCGCAGGTCTCGGTTCGTCCAGGTCCTATTAGAAACCCGATCGAGTATTCTAAGTATCCACAAATTATGGTATATATTAGGTATATTTAGGTGATTGGGTATATTTTTGATAATTCAGGTATTTTTAAAGTTTCAGATTTGGATTTTCGAATATAATATTAAGTTTTAGGTAAACTTTTAGATTTCAAAAAAATATAATTCGGGTATTGGGGTAAAATTCCGGGTATATTTTTGATTTTTTGGTCTGATTTTGGATAATATTTCGGAATTATTTGCGGTTCTTTGAGCTTTTTTAGAGTTTTCGGGTTTTGGGATCCAGTTTGGGTCCTTCGGATCCTTTTCGGGTCCTAAATACCCGACCCGACTCGATAATATACCCGAACCAACAAATCTGACAAGACCCGATCCGAAATCCACCCGAAAAATTATAGATACTTATATAGGTCCAAATTTCTAAGACCCGAAAGACATGGACCCGACAAAACCCGATCCAGACCCGACTCGAGGATCCGGATACTCAGAATTAAACAGTATATTACCCGCGCTTTGAAAGCGCGGGTCAAAATCTAGTTTCTATTAAAATTATATTTGAGAAAATAAGATACTTCTTATGTATTATATTGTTATCTTGAAAATATATATTTATTATAGAAATAAAAATTAAGTTATAAAAATTATAATTAAAATAAATTAAAGCAACATATTTGTAATAAATATATTTTTAAAAATATTTTGTTATGTGAGTGTTGTCATTTATAATTAATTTTAAAACATAAATCATAACTTATTATATTGGTTTGAATTAATAAAATATAGACTAATAATAAATCGTACGAAAATTATGCCCACATGTGCGGGCAAAACATCTAGTTTGTCTATTAATTCGAATGTTATAAGAAGATTCTTATCGTGAAATTATTAATTACTATCGCATATGTTACATGTAAATTATATCATTTCTAATAGAAATTATATAACAATGTATCCAGCGTCATAAAATTTGTAAAATACAGAAATAGTTATAGAAGAGATATATGCATATATTCTCTAAATATATTTTTTGGTAAAAAATAGTGTTCTCTAAATATACGTAGCCTAGTAATACTAATATATATATATATATATATATACAATTAAAATATAAATCATGATTTTTTTCATGTGTGATCTTTAATAGTATTCTCTAAATATACGTAGTCTAGTATATATATATATATATATACTATTAAAATAGAAGTTATAACTTTTTTCATGTGTGATTTTTTTAAATTTAGACTATCATTAAAAAGTTTATTAAATTTTACATAACATAATTATAGTATTTTTCATATCTTTAAATTTCATTTAAAATACAAAAAAATATTTTTATTAAAATTATAACAAAAATCTTTTTAAAATCTTTTAGAATATTTTTAAAAGATATTTTAGAAAATTAGTTAATTGAAATGTTAATTATCATAAAATATAATTAAAAGTTTAATTGATTTTTGGTTTAGAACAAAAATTAAAAATTATGTAAAATAATTTTAACATAATTTAACACTATCCGAAAAAATTGCTCTCTATTATGTATGTCCAACTTAATTTAAATTTCAGATATACTTCAAAATTAGAAATAAAACAAAGTATGTAAATTAGTATTTTACATAATAATAATTTTTTTAAAAAAGTGTTACAAAATACAAATTTACTTTTTTAATGTAATAATATTATAAAGTTAGATAATGTATAACATCAAATTTTATTAATATATTAATAAATTTTATTGTATAACTAAAAATATTTTAGTTTCAAAAAAATCGTATGGTCATGGGAGTCAATATCTAGTTAAGATTTTAAAGTAAGAGAGTTAATGCAAAAGTCTTGTAAAAAACTGCACAAAATCTTCCAGGACATTTAGCCTTTCGTCACCAAGTTTGTATCTACATTATTATTTATAGGAACGTATGCAGTGAAGATTTAGAGATCGGTTGTGCGAACACCAGCATTGCTACTACTGGCTTTGTCATCTTTCTTGGTTGACACTTTCTTGCGTTTCCTCTCAGATTGTGGCTCCTTTGCCTTTAGCTCATTGCACATTGACCTCAAAGACGCAGCTAAGTTATCGTTTCTGTGCGCTGCAAACTCAGAATATTGATAAGAGAGTCAGAACGAACTTGAGGAGAATGTGAGTGAGAGAGGAACAGTTAGTACCGAAGAGAACAACATCGTCCATATTGACAACTTTGCGTCCAGCATGATGAGCAAAGAGTTCAAGGTCCTTTGCAACATTCTCTGTTTCTCACAACAAATAAGCAAAAGCTTTAAGACTAAACTACGATTCTTTTTCCTCTAATTATCTACAAGAGCATTAGCAAACAAGCATTACCAAAAACATCCACCACACACACCATGCTCAAGGTAATCTCACTACCTAGGTCAGATATGTTAAACAAGACTCGTTTATTTTGCAGTTCTTTAAGCTAATCTACTTTCTAAGAAGAGAAACCTTCTTCACCACTGCCTCAATTCAACAAGCAATGACCAATCTGTATTCCCCTGAAGCTATGATAAAGATTTGAAACCACAAGAAGAGAGATCAAACCTGCGTATTTGAAGGCTAGATCGGCCACGCATGCTACAACAGGTCCTGCTATCTCCATTCCACTTTTCTTCGCTGCTCAAACAAACAATTAAACAAAAAAACTCAAATGTGATTCATCAATCCAATTCTAGATCCACCAGAAGATAACTAATCGGAACACAAACAGATTCTCGGAAGAATGAAATAGGAAATATCAAATCGAATCAGAGCACAGGTGATAACATCAAAATTGAAATCTCCACCAAAAAAATTGGAGAATCGATTGAGATGAGAATGAGAGAGAATCTGACCTTCGGCTTCGGCGATAGAGATAGCGGAGAGTCTGAATCGGTCTCTGATGAGATCGTCCATGGAGTCTTCTTCAGCCATTAGATCTTCCTGGATATCGCTTACGTCCATGGCGTTAGCAAAGGGAGCTTAGGTTTTCGCCTGCTTCCGATAACAAAGGGGGGAGATTTTTACGCGGGAATGCAAAACTCAAAGCGCAGCGTTTAATCTCACTATAATGTAATCTGTATAGCGAAGTGTTTTATTTTATCTGACAAAGCTGATCTCCACTGACAGGGCATAAAACGCAGCGTTTTAATCTGAAGAGAGTATAAAATGGACTGTGTTTTTTTATATATTCAGCATTTTTATCTCTAACAAAGGATCTCCAACTATTGATTTAAACCCCCAACTATTTTTAAATCGGATAGAAAACCTCGAACTATAATTTTATGTTTTTAAACCTCCAACTATTAAACCATTAGTGGCGTTAACCTTCTATTAACAAAGTCGTAGTTCTGAACAAAGATTCGTTAAACTGAAACGCACTGTTTCATATAATCACAAAACAATACGAAATGCTTACAATCAACAAATTTTTTAGTGATTTAAACCTCCAACTATTTTTAAATAGGATAAAAAAACCTCTAACTAAAACTTTATGTTTTTAAACCCTCAACTATTTAACTTTAATGCTTTTAATCCTTTGTAAATAAAGTCGTCACCTTAAAAACAATACTTTTAACTTGGACGATTTGAAGATAATCAGACCAAAAATTGATGTTTGGGCCATGGAAAACATGGAGAAAGTGAGAGATGGCGTGGGACGGTGGCGTGAGCCGGCCAGACGATGTAATACAGTGTGAGGTGGAGTAAGACGATGGTCTGAGATGGAGAGATCCATGGCTAAAGATTGAAATGGTGGTGACAGAGAATATGCAAATTGCGGTAAGGAGTTGGAGAACAACAATACTATGATTTATCAATCCAAAAGTGAAAATTATATTTAATAATATTAAAAATTTACATCGATTAATTTTTTAAAAAGTGAAAATTATAAAAAAAAATTCACAAGATTTTTTAGTAAGAAATATTTAATTCTAAAAAAATTCAAAAACCAATATCCCAAAAACTAAATTTTGATGTTTCTAACATTATCTCAAAAAAACTATTCTCTATCATGTAGGTTCACTTTAATTTAATTTTCATATATATATATATATATATATATATTTCACACTAAAAACATCATATTATGTAAAATATTATTTTATATAATAATGTTTAAAATGAATGTTTTACAAAGTACAAATTTATGAAATTCTATAGTACGAATATTACTAACCACACAAACATTATTATAAAAGTAGATAATCTGTAACATTAAATTATACTTATTTATTGATAAATATTATTTATGTAAACAATAACATTGTAATGTAAAAAGAAACCCCCAAGATCGTGCGAATCAAGATCTAGTTGATATTAAATCAATAGTTTTTTAGATATTTCATCTTCGATAGTTTTTGAAAATGATTAAAGACCATAATTTTGTTTTTATTTGGGGATGAATCGTGTTTGTCGGTTATGAGGGATAAAACTCACTTCCTAATTTAGATCTGGTTTAGATTGGAGAAAAGATAACGTGGGCTGAATCCTGTTTAGAACTTATAGAATGAATACGATTGTATTGAATGTTCTTGGTAAAATATGATTACAAGTGTAACGATTTACGATTACAAAGAATAAAAAATGTTTTTAAAATTCTCCAATGTGTAAAAAATGATTGAGTCCCCCCTTGCTTCCTCATCCTCATTTCCTTTAAATAACTCAGGCGACGTTTAACTGACCCTAACTTATTTCCGAGATTGCTTCCGTGAGTTGAGGGATTTGCAATGGCTCGACTCTGACCGAATCTCGCGCCTCTTATTTCGTATCCTGAGATGTTTCTCATTAGGTTCCTATGAGGGAAACGGGACCTCTTTCATTAGTATTCCCAAAGGTAGCCTCCTTCTTCAAGTCAGCTTCATTCTCCTTTTCTTGAAGTCATAGCCCATGGTCGGTCTTATTGCGCCCCCTCACTGACTCTTGTTTAACTTACCCATTAGCTTTAGCTAACGGGCCATTTTTGGGCCCAACATCGGTGCGTACCAATTTAACAGATTTTATTTATAAAGTGTTAAAAGTATTAAAGTTAAACTAGATCATAACCCGCCCGACTGTGCGGGTCTTTGTTTTTAAGGTATATATAAATATTTTAAAAATTACAATCTTACGGTGCCAATTTTACTAAGTAATAGTATATTGTTTAAATATTGTATTTCATTATTGTATTGTGTAAGAGGGGCGTCTTAAAATATTATGACCCGTAAACATTTTAGTAATATTTTATAAAGTTTTTTGACTAAATTTGGTGTAAAATAATATACACTAAATAATTTAGTCAAATTTTTAATTTAATTTTTAATGAAGAATTGGAAGGCTAGTATATCACTGTTAAAAACTTATAAGAATAGTCAATATAAATTATATAAATAAAATATATATTATTCTTGATTTATTCTAAATACATTTAAAACATGAATACATATATGTATAAATAATTTTTAGAAGTAAAGTAATNAATTTTTAATTTAATTTTTAATGAAGAATTGGAAGGCTAGTATATCACTGTTAAAAACTTATAAGAATAGTCAATATAAATTATATAAATAAAATATATATTATTCTTGATTTATTCTAAATACATTTAAAACATGAATACATATATGTATAAATAATTTTTAGAAGTAAAGTAATATCAATGATAGAAAATCCAAAAACAATAATAATGGTACCTTGGGCCGCAATAATCTTTAGTATAATAAATAAGCCCATTAAATTTGTATGATATCCATGTTTCCAATCAAACTTTTAAAATTTTCTTATTCATGTTTCCAAACACTTTATTTTTGTACTTCAGCTTTAATAGTATAGATAGTTAAAGGTTTAAAAACATAAAGTTTTAGTTGGAGGTTTTTTATCCTACTTAAAAATAGTTGAGCGTTTAAATAATTAAAATATATGTTGATTGTAAGCATTTCGTGTCGTTTCAATGATTATAGGAAACACTACGTTTCAATTTATGAGATCTCTGTTTAGAACAGATGACTTTGTTAACAGAAGGTTAACGGCACTAACGGTCTAATAGTTAGAGGTTTAAAAATATAAAATTATAGTTCAAGGTTTTCCATCCGATTAAAAAATAGCTGGGGGGTTTAAATCACTAAAAACCCGTATACTGACATTTAAAAAGATTACGAATTCTATCAATGGAATTGTAATCTCTATCAAAGTGCTGAGGGGAAACTATAGGCCAACGGTTAAGGGATTTGTCCATTATTCCTCCCATTTTTCTCTCTAATTTTCTCTAGCTTTTAGTTTTTCTTTTTTTCTGATGAACTACTCGTTCCAACCCAAAAAAAAAAAGAAGAAGATGTCGAAAGAGACGAAGAGAAATAAGTTTTGTATTATATATGCAAGTATAGAAGTTATTGTATAATTACTATATAACAGTAACCTTTCCGGTACAAACTTGTTGTCAGTAGACTTTACTCTAATATTTGCTAGTATCAAAATTGTTACTAATTGTTGTATAGTAACGTTATATAGAAGTATAGAACATCAACCTATCAAGTACAAAACTGTTATCAATAAGCTATACTCTAATATCTGCTATATATTGAAAGGCTTTGCAATGCTTTTGGACAAGAAAACATGAGCTCGAGGGAATCGGCTAATGGTATCAAGCTCATTTGGTGTCTTCACGTTGCCTAACTCATTGTGGGTTATATGGACAAGGCACTACTATCTTCTAAAAGGAATTTCTTTTTGAGACATCAAGGAGAGTCAACCTGGATCGTAGATTCGTAGATATGGAGGAAGTTAGTCAAATAGGTTTTTACTTGGTATGTCATGTGTCATAATTGGTCTACAAACTGAAGATATTTCCACATATAAAATGAGGTTGGATATAAACCATGTCACGCTCTCGACTTCTACGAAAATAAGTGGACGAACGAACATAAGTGGTAACGTCTACATAAATGGAAAAGGAATAATATTTTTGTTTTTAAAACCAGAAAAAAATTGATGTCGTACACGCAAACTCTTAACATAAACGTAATTGACAATTGAGTCCTTTGTCTACATGCAATAAGACACCGATATTTAACAGGGTACAACAGTCATTTCACTAACCACTCAGTTGAACGTAACGTGTCGCGATCTTAGACTCTTTGAATCGGACGGTGGCGAGTCTTATGTAGCGAAATTCTCTTTTGGCTGTTCACAAAAATCGGTTTACCTCTGTACCGACAATGTAACATGCTTTTCTGGTTTCACATTTTATACAAAGTGAATCATGTATGTTAGGTTACCGTTAAACAATTTTATACAGAAATTTCAGTAGATTGAGTAATTGACCAATTACTAAGTTTCTCCGTCGGTTTGTTAGTCGATTAAAAACCGGTTGGTAGATAACCTAAACCGAACCGGTGAGTAAGTCGGTTTAGCTCCTGATATTTTTTCAGTTGTATAAAGAAAAAAGAAGAATCGTAAGAGAGAGATAAGATAGGGTGAAGATTAAAGCACATCCATCTGTTTTCTCCATTTCTCTCTCTCTCCTTCTCTTCTTCATCTTATCGTCTTCGTCGACCTTTGATCCTGCGTTTCGATTCCGGTGAGGGGACTTTCACTTAAAATTCGTCTATTAGATCCTCTCAGAAAGATTCTTTGTCGTCGGTGGTGTTTGTTCTTGAGCTTTTTTAAGCTTACAGCTTCGTAATTGTCAAACTTAGGGTTTCATGTTCTTGAGTATTGATTTGAGCTAAGTTGTGTGTTGAGACTTCACTTATCTACTGTTTCTAGTCTTGAGCTTATCTAAAGTTCGTTGCTTTTTAATTTTGATAGTATCTGAATTAGTATTTTGTAGTTTTGAGCTTCATTTGATAGTATAACTGTTTCTTCAAGCAGAGTTATGGCTTTTGTATACTAAATTCTTTATCTTTATTGATTTAGGAAGTCATGGCTATGGCCACAAAGGTGCTGTCTCAATCCACTCCACTGTCTTTGGCCTGTTCACAGAGGAACGTTCCCTCTCGTGGATCAAGCAGCTCGAAAAGATCGGTGAAAATGATGTGCGCTCAGCTACAA